ACAACAGACCTTCCTGCTCACTGCATGATACTGGACAATCATCTCCCCATGTCAAGGTAATACAAGTTTGTAAGGCACCTAATGAATTCCAAAATGCTACACTAGAATAGTTAAATTTTTCTCTTACCAAAAACAAAATAATTTCTCCTGAGCCACACTGCGTGCAACAGAGTCCTTCCCCTGAACCTGTCAAGTACACTCCAGGTCTGACTTCCCTTCCCAGTGTTGTGCCTTAAGCTTCACTCACACGTCTGACACATGGGATTAGTCTTTCCCTGACTTTCTTCTTGATAAGCAGCCCAGAAAACCTCAGCCGTAGCAGCTGAGACACGACCCCCCAGCGCTCATCCGCAGGCTCCAGCTGGTTGCTGCACACCTCTCAGGTTACCAGATCTCAGCCACAGGCTCAGCCTTTCACTCGGGAGTTACACGGGACAAAAACCCAACAAAGTCAGATTTGGGTTGATTCCATTTTTATTGTGGATTGGAGCTTAGAGGATAAGCGCTGGTCAGCATCACTGGCTGCTCCATCTGCCACCCTCTGTGAGCACTCTCCCTGTAGGAGTCTAAATTTAGCCCAAGAGATCAGGATCAAAAAGGAGAAAAACCGCTATCAGGCACATCGCCGCTGTTACTGAACACCTAGCAGTCACTGATCGCCCACCGCGTGAGAGTTGTGCTGAGAGAAGAACTTGTCTACACCTTTCTTCTCTCTCCCATGAAAGAAAAGCTGACTTCTAGAAATAGATGTGGAAAGAACATGCCAGGGAGCTAAGTCGCGGTCAGTCCATCCCCTGAAAAGCATGTTTTTCAGTCAAGAATGTTTCTTGAGCTCCAGAACCGCGAGTACCTGTCGTGGCCTGAGCACTCACAGACCGCAGCAAGCCTCCTGCTGATGCATCCTCACCACTCATGAGCCTCTCTCTAGAAGTCCTGAGACTGGGAACTCTCGGAAGGTTGGAGGTTTGTGCGCAGTTTGTACATGTGATTGAGCGCCTGTGTGAGAAACTCCCCGCTGGTGTTGATCTCCATCAGGGTCAAGTTATCCAGCTAAAACAGAAGAAAATGGACAAAGTTGGCCAAGAAGTTTTTGATTTTGAGAAAAAGATAAACTCTACTGAATAAAAATAAGAAACCAGTAGTTCTTGTTTTTAAAGCAAGCTAGTAATCCTTGCTGGTAACAGCCTGGGCTGTGTGAAATTCTTCCGCAGGGAAGCCCCTGCAGGCAGACGTGCAGCACACAGTGTGCGGGCCGCAGGGAATCCCCTATAGGCAGACGTGCAGCACACAGTGTGCGGGCCGCAGGGAAGCCCCTGCAGGCAGACCATGCAGCACACAGTGTGCGGGCTGCAGTGAAGCCCCTATAGGCAGACGGTGCAGCACACAGTGTGCGGGCCGCAGTGAAGCCCCTATAGGCAGACCGTGCAGCACACAGTGTGCGGGCCGCAGGGAAGCCCCTGCAGGCAGACCATGCAGCACACAGTGTGCGGGCCGCAGTGAAGCCCCTGCAGGCAGACCGTGCAGCACACAGTGTGCGGGCCGCAGCGAAGCCCCTGCAGGCAGACCCTGCAGCACACAGTGTGCGGGCCGCAGGGAAGCCCCTGCAGGCAGACCCTGCATCACACAGTGTGCGGGCCGCAGCGAAGCCCCTGCAGGCAGACCATGCAGCACACAGTGTGCGGGCCGCAGCGAAGCCCCTGCAGGCAGACCATGCAGCACACAGTGTGCGGGCCGCAGCGAAGCCCCTGCAGGCAGACCGTGCAGCACATAGTGTGTGGGCCGCAGGCAGACCGTGCAGCACACAGTGTGCGGCCGTGAGCCAGCACCCACCTCGGCGTGCGCCTCCTGCTGTCTCACAAAGCTGTCAGCGGACACTCGGAGCTTGGCTATGCGAGTATCCCACACGTCCTTGACCAGGGTCCGGATCTCATCTGCTTTAGGGATGTTGTCTGAAGCGCTAAAGGAAACACAGTGGAATCAGGAAGTTTTTTATCAGCTCAGTTAAATGGAAGAAACACCAGACAGTGGCTTTTCTCAGGCAAAATACTCCAGCTATTCTAGACTCAGAAAATCTCTTTTGTTTTCAACTATAAGATGCCAGGACCTGCAGCAGTTAAGCTTAGTGCCCAGGACACTGGCAGGATCCACACTGAGTTACTCCGCTCGTGCTAATGACCCCACAGCAGGCTGTTGTCCAGAGTTCTGTTTACCTGAGAGATTCAGGTAGCAGAGAACCAGCTCCAACTTGGACATCCTCTCAGGATGACTGTTCTGTGCTATATAATCTCCATCTACAATGAACTTGTTTTGAGGGCTGGCTCAGAGGCCTTACGTTCCTCTTCCTTTACAGACTGCTAACCACTAACCCAGGCCCACAGCCCCCCAGAGAGGAAGAGTCCAGCTCATAGGCACTGTGCTTGGCACCTTACATGGTGTGTCCATCCTCACAAAGCCCC